CTGTTTTCTTTCATATATTGCCTAATTTTGTTTTTCAATTCTTCCTCCAACCCTTTATTATTTGATATTCTCACATTAAGTCTTCAGATTGTTTGTCTTTTCCTCGCATTCAGATGTTTATTCAAAAACAAGGTATCATGGTCTGATATATCCATTCCTCCAATCTTACACTCAGTCAGTCTGTATCTATCACCCATATTCATAAAAAAAAAATCTATTCTTGAGTGTACATTGTGTGTTGCAGAATAATACGTGAAATCTTTTTCAAAAGGATTGAGAAGAAGGAATGATTATGTCTATCATTCCCATTTCTCCTAAAGATAACCTCACCAATTTTGATATATAAATAAATATAAATTATAAATATAAACATATATATGCTTATCACTTTCTGGAGGTGCGTAAACTTTAATCAATGTTACAGATTCATTTTCTAGTTTTCCCTTCACTAGCACATATTGACCCTCCTTATCCTTAATTTCTTTTTCACAGACAAATGTAGTTGAGTTTGGAATTAGTATTATACCCAACCTTCTACGTCCTTGTTTATATGTACTGTAATATGAATTCTTAAAACCAATTTTTTTTTTTTTAATTTTTCGTGTTCTGTCTGGGACAAGTGAGTATCCTGTAAAAATATAACGTGTTTCTTCTTTTTTCAATTTTCTTACGACAGTCCCTTTCTTCTTGGGTGTACTTACACCATTTACGTTTAACGACATTATCTTCACATCATTACATACCATATTGCTCTGCTATTGTGTATATGTTTCCCCAAGCATTTCAAAATCCCACAAACATGAACAAAGTTAAAAAAGCTGTGAACTAAATTGAACTTCCATAGGGGGTTTATTCTTCTCTTCTCCCCTAAGTCCCTATTGGTGGGTGGATGGGAAATCCTCTTCTGTGAGGGCCCATCCCTAGACTCGAACAAGACGAACAAAGAGCTAAACCCGCCACATGGTGTTGCTCCCGGTCTAGACATGTCCAACTTTAATGATTAATTCTTTCCCTGTCAGTAACATTATATTATGAAGTGAAAAAAAGAAGCCCTTCAGTATTAATAAACTCAAACATAGAGGGTCGAGGTCTTTTCCTATAGTCTCCTCAAACCGGTGTGAATGGACTTACTTGAGTGTTATCTTTCAGCCCTGTTACCTCTTTATATTAGAAATATATTAGTTATCAGGTCTCCTCTGGTATCCTTGCAACTTTTCCTTTGCTCGTTGTGCTGCCGCATCTTGCTTTGCTCTGCCACGTCCCACTTGCTGCCATCCCGGAGCACCATCGATCCTCTTGTACGCTTGCCCAGCATTGTTGCTTGGTAAGTCCACAGTTAACACCCTTACATTCATGTCCTGCACTGCATCCCGTGCGTTGTCGAAACTCTTCCAATCAATTCCAATCGATTCGTATTTTTGTGAATGGGGTCTGAAAACAGATCTCCCTCTCCTTCAGTTCATTCTCGACACATAGGTAGGATTTGCGTTTTTGGACAATCTCGGTGGGGTAGTCATGGTCAAACTGGATTTTCTTGTTGCCTACCGGTATCCCCTTCTGCCAGACTTTCTGTAACACCATCTCCTTGGTTTCAAACTGTAGAAAACTGACCACTATTGATCTCTCTTTCTGCGTCCTCAGGTAGGCCGAAAATCCAGACATTATTTCTCTGGGACCTCGCATCTAGATCAATTATCTTGTCCTGCATCTGGCGTGTCTGTTTTGTTATCTTTGCTAGCAGGTTGCTTGCTTCTGTGTTGTACTCCTCCAACTCCACTATGTGAGCCTGGGCCTCCGTCATGCTCGTCTTTTGCTCCTGTAGTTCTTTGTTACTTTCTGTGAGTTTGCGTTCAGTGTCTTGTCTGAGCATAGCGATTTCTTGTCTCGTCTCACTTTTATGTTCGTCTTTGAATGCTGTTAGCTTGATGTGGAGTTCCCTTTTGAGGTCTCTTATATCGTTGCTTATACTAGCAAGTCCAGCTCTCAGTGCTTCAGCCTGGTCCATTTTCTCTGCTGCTTCACTCTCGTGTTCACTTACATTGTTGCAGTCGGAGACCTCTTCCATTGTAGACTGTTCCTGAGTTTTATTTGAGTTTTTAGTGTGTCTCCTGTTTTGGTGCCCACTCATCTCTAAGTTTATAGCCTTTTTATATCAAGTTCCTATTTCTACTGACTTGGGCGAGCTAAAGGTGGTCATGAGGAGGAAGCACTGGTTAGCCCCGGTTTCACTACAGGTAGATTCACTAGCTATAGGGGTGAGGAAATAAAACCTTAACAGCCAATCAGAGTGATCTCTCACTGACAAGCTCCGCCACTGATTCAACATGCTCAATCGACAGAAAAGCCGCCGATGCCGAAGTGCTACCAGTGCGGGACACACTGCAAAAACTAGGGCGACAGACACTCACGACGGCCCGACTTTGACCGACGGCCAACCATCAGCTTGGTGTGTCAGGGCTTAAAAAGCTAGGCAGCCGACCTGTCAGCCCACCATCTTACAGGAAATCTCGGCTTCAACTTTTAACTTTCAAACATCAACGGGGTAGGTTTGTAAAATCTAATAACTAATTCATAGTGAAGGGGAGGGTCATGTATTTTCTGACAGTAACTCAGGGAGGCTCAAGGAAGATATTTGTAGCTTCAGGGAGGGTCAAAATAAATAAATAGATAAGACAGAAGTAACAGTCCAGCCACCCCCTCCTCTAAAAATAAAGAACATTACAGCAGTTCTGTTATATTTGTGAAACTTATAATGAAACAAAAATATTGTTCAGATCACAGTATAATCCAAATTGTATGTAATCAGTACATGAATAATGATAAAAATATATACACAGTCTATATTTTACGCCCCTGATTCCTTGTCTCGTTTACTGATTATGTTTGTTTCTTTGATCATCTCTTTAATTATGATGACTGATGCAGTTTTATATATTTTGTTCAATTTAAAAAGGGGGGGGGGGCATATTTATATTCCCTAAAGGGTCCTAAGGACAGAGGGATGTCGTTTATGCAGCCTGAGCCTGTGATGCATTTAACAGTTTAGCTTTTGTTCAAAATGCCAGAAGGGGCTTTAAGACAAAAAGTCTACTATTAGTTATGTTGCTGTCAGACACCAGAAGGTGTCAGATCTGAACAGTGGGTGTACACTGTAGGCTATGGTAAGCAACAGACTTGTAACTTGTTCAATGCTTCCCTGTTTTCCCCCATTTGTTTGCCTAATGTGTCTAAGGAGTCAGCAACAAAACATATTTTAGCCACCTAAAAAAGTCCTAATTAAAGAAAAAAATCAATATCACTTTAAAAGTATGCTATATTGAGAGTATTATCATTGTTTTGCCTTTCTATTAGACAGCCTGTTCAAACGGGGGAGCCATTAATGACCACATTTCCCCATCTATGCTCCCATTAAAGATACCAAACTCCATTGACAAAAACAAAAAATTTAGCTCGCTGAAAATGTGAACTGCTGGTCTACCACTACAACATTCATTTAGTTATTTTGTATTGTTGTGTGATTTTGGTGAATCCAAACTAACCCTTTGAACACCAAAGTCACACAATAACACAAACTAACTGATCAAGGCAGCGGTAGACCAGCAGCTCCTGTGTTCAGCAATGTTAAATTAATGTTTTTTCTCAAGTCTAAGAATTGCTCAAGTCCGAAATTGCTGTCTAATTATAAAGTAAAGCAGTGAGAATATTTTAAAAATAGTGTACAATCATACTGATTCTGATTTTTTTTAGGTGGCTAAAATAGTTGCAGACCCCTACACAGCAGTAGATTACATGGATGAAGTGCTGAGCTCCAGCCTGCTTCTCCAAACAGGGGGTGTGTTGACCACCATGGTACATAATATACTATCTATGAATATGCCTGTGGATATTCTCATTCATCCAGGTCATAGTTATCTCAAGGCAATTGAATCGAACGCACCTGGACTTGGTTTTGTCTTAGAAGACGTTTCACCTCTTATCCAAGAGGCTTCATCAGTTCATGCCTGTCTAGACTAGGCTGGAACTAGTCTGACAAACTGGTGTAGAAACAACCCAGGTATTTAATCTCTGGGGAGGTCTTCACAAGGCCAATGATGTCACTGGTTCGTTAGTGCGCCAATGGTGTGTCAACGATCGTCGCTGAAACTGCTGCAACGGTTGTCATTGGAGTCGTTAGAGTCACATGAGGCCATTTGTGAACGACCATTGTTTTAAGAGGTTAAGTTGTTAAACTTTATGGGCAAGGATGAAAGGACAGCATTATAGGTGGGGGATAGGTGGTGTCGCAGACCTCCTCCTCTATTGAGAGATGGTTTTTAGATGGCTTCTTTTACACCTCTTTCGCCTTGAGATATCTATGGATATGTACCTCATACAACCCCACTTCAGAAAATCTGAACTGACCCTTTTAACTGTGTCAGTTTTTTTCAGTCAATTCTTGATTGATACCTGAGTTTCACGTATTACTTAACTTTGTCATTTCTTAAAAAGAATGAATGACATAGGTGTAGCCTATATAATCTGAGAATGTCAAGAGCAACGTCCTCCTCTTTCACCAAGTTCTTTTTGTTGCAAAAGATACAAAAATGCAATAATACAGATGTAAATATCTGAAATATATGATACATTATACAACACAGACGTTATCAGATGCTTTTCACGTAACAGTCAGTCCGAAATCATTTGAATCATTTCAAATGAATTAAACTACAGCCCATTACAACTCTTGGGGATCCCAAGGCAGTTTGATCACATCCTCTAAATAGCCTACTTTGGACCATCCAAAAACGATTATAATTAAAAAATAATGTTGTTACTGCCATATAGATGATCAGGGTTAGCACATATACTCAACAACACTTACAAACAAAAAACAGTACAAAACAACAACAAAAACAAACACCGTCCTCGAACCTGCTCCTGCAGGCGGACTACCCTTCGCAGCGGAAGGAAAAGTCTGGCCTCCGCGGAAGGATAGGATATAAACAGAGAACATGGTAGCTTACTACATTTCAGTTTTGTTCAAATGACTGTCGGGACCAGAGTACCATCACTCTGTCATGATGTGACTGTACCGGGAGTAAATACTGTACAGCTTTTATTAACACGTCAACGTACAGTGTCTTAATGTGAAACTAAATATAACTGAAGAAGACAGCTACTCCCAGGGCTAACATTATCGTAAGCTATTCTGTCAGACTCGACGACGAAGGAAACAACCAAGTGTTCTTTTATGTCACACGGACGAAATCAGTGCTCACTGGAGAAACGTCAGTGTCTTTCAAGAGGAGAGAAATGTGTCTTATGGACTCGGGCGTCTCGTCGAAGAAGACATATCATAAGGACTAACATCCTCAGATTAACAGCAGTAATGTGTTGACATTCGCGTTGCATCCTTAAGATTTTTTTTATGCTAACACTGACTGTAGGCTCGCGGATGTTAGCTAGCTTTATATGTCGCTACAACTTGTATTTTAGATAGATGACGCTTACATTGCCCAGCATCACCAAACAAGGTAACGTTATTGACATGTTATTGTGAACATGTTTGTAGAGACCTGCTATGGGCAGCAGCTATGACGCTAGGTGTAGCCCCAGGGTTATGTCACTGTCAGGCTAACAGATAGCTCGGTGTCTGCAGCTACTTTCAGTCTTTGCATGGTCATGTCCAACTGGGTTGGCATCATGTAAGTTAACGTTAAACTGTCCCACTGAACAGGTTAGGTGACTAGGGACACAGTGTGTTAGTGAGCCTGCTTGGAGAGTAATGCAAAGCTGGATTGCAGCTATCCAACTGGGTCAAACACTGACAGCTGGCACTGATACAGTTTAGCTCAGGATTGTTGTTAGCCATGCTCACAACCGTCTGTTCAGTGTGATATTACAAACATCTCAACTTATTTAGAGGTTACGTGAATGCATCATATCCTGACTGCATCTCTTATTTATGCAATAAGGGACACCAGAGCAGCCTGACATGAAATAAATCCGTAGTGCAAGAAGCAACATTGCCAGGACTGAGAGCATCATTTGCTCTAGGATAATTTTCTGAAGAGGAGAGCAACATTTACAGCTATCCACCAGTGCCCAGTATCAACCCGACCATCAGTCCATCACAATGGAAACTGTGGGAGATTTTGAGTACAGCAGAAAAGACTTGGTTGGACACGGAGCCTTTGCTGTGGTGTTTAAAGGAAGACACAGGAAGGTAAATAAATAACTTGCCTGCAGTGTTATCTTGTTTTCTTCTCCCTCGTCTTTTGCAGGATAAATTGGGGCAAGTAGGCAGCTTCATTTAAAAATCTGGGTCAGTCAGAGGCATTGCACAATGCAGTCCTGCAGCAGCATATGTGGGCTGTCAGTAGCTTTTTATTGCTTTGTAATAATAAGCAACAGACAGTGGTGGTAATGTTTCATTGCTTTTATGGCTAAACATCTTGATCCAATCTGATGTACGGTGAAGTCATGATGTGACAAGTGATTTCAGTGTTAATTCGTCAGCCTGATGTTAGTTGTGTAAGTGTATTTACGCCTCTTGGTTCATTCATGAAATGGATGAGTCAGGCAGCAGTGAATGACTTGCTGACGTACTGAGGCAGGAGGGAGGATGGGATGCACTGTTTTGCCTTCGTCTTTTTAAGGATACAATCCTCACTCATGTAAGAACCGCACAAAGTTCGTCCATAGTGAAGCACTGGACCTTACTACACTATTAACAGAATGCGCAGAAATTGAATTAACTCAATACAGTTGACTTGGATGTGTCTTTTTTCAATCACATAAGGACACAAGAACTGGTGAGTTTGTTTGCATATATCTGACAGAGATGCAGGAGATGACATCATGTTGCCCCCACTGCTACTGGTGTGAAACAGATGGTTCTGAATTCCTCAATAAAAGCCACTTTAGAGCATTCCCACAGTCCCTGCTGTAGCCTGGGCAGAGCAGCAATCGATAACTAGCTCACAGCTCTGAAACTAAGCTGACTGCAGGCCTGCAAACAATCACCCAGTCATCCTGGAAGCTGTGCATCAAGCACATCCGTCCACTTCTCACATTCCTTCCTGTGCTGTTAAAATGGTCCTGGCATGTGATCAGTGTATTTACTTTTTTAAGTCCTATCATCTGCATGCCATTTAGCCTATTTATAGGATTATTTCCATGTTGGAGGAACAGGAAGGTCAGAGCCACCTGCATGCATCAGATGTGATGGATTGAGTCATTGCATAGGCAGTAGGGGTGTAACGGTACACAAAAATCTCGGTTTGGTACGTACCTCGGTACACAAGTCACGGTTCGTTTTTTTTCGGTACAGTAATGAAAAAAATAGACAACTATTAAATATCTTTTACTTATTTGTAACCTTATTAAAACATACCACCACAGCAGTTAAGTCTTTTTACACAATTTTTGAATGAAACAAATATATATAAAATCCTGCTTTTTCACATTGTTTGAATGAAAATATAAATATAAATTTCTGCTTAAACAGTTTTACTCAATTAAAATAAAAAGTATAGTGCAGCTGGTCAGCTTTAAAGCCTGCTCAGATTCAGTTTTACTAGGAACTTAGCTTTCCCACTTTGTTAAAGTGCAGTAAACAAAACATGCTTATATCTAAAGTGCAGCTTAAACAATTTTACTCAACTCCAATGGCGTTGGTTATTTCTTTAGCGCGATGGTCAGGGAAACGCTCTCTCTTTTTATTCGACGAGGATATCGTAGTATGCACCAGATTGCTTTTTCTAGTCGTGCCGGTTAACGTTCAAACTCGGGTGGTGTCGCTTTAGATGCGTTAGCATGTTAGACGTGTTTCCAAGTACATACCCGACCGCTGTTCTGCAGTGTCGGCACACTGCTTTTGTCTTGTCAACTTGTTTATTTCCATCTTCGTATTTTACCCTGAAACCAAAGTGTTCCCAAACGGAGGACTTAAGGTTTGTGGGTGGGTCTTCAGGTTTCCGCACACTGAATTAGAGCTCCCAGTAAGTTTTTAATGCCTAAAAAAGCAACGGTTCGACCCCAACGGTCTTCCTATATATGTGTGTATATATATATATATATACAGTACAGGCCAAAAGTTTGGACACACCTTCTCATTCAATGCGTTTTCTTTATTTTCATGACTATTTACATTGTAGATTCTCACTGAAGGCATCAAAACTATGAATGAACACATGTGGAGTTATGTACTTAACAAAAAAAGGTGAAATAACTGAAAACATGTTTTATATTCTAGTTTCTTCAAAATAGCCACCCTTTGCTCTGATTACTGCTTTGCACACTCTTGGCATTCTCTCCATGAGCTTCAAGAGGTAGTCACCTGAAATGGTTT